GCCCTGAGGTTTCTAGTTACGCCTCTGAGTGCATGCCTGATTCCTCTGCAGGTTTGTTGGATTTTAGACCAGGGCAGTCATTGCCTGAAGGATAAGCATTGTACACTCTTGCTGGTGTAATGAGTAACGATACTGGTAGTTAAGGATTTGGACACCCCCAATGCAGTCTATTTGCATAGAGGCACAAGGAGGCTTATGGGTGATGCTGGTCAAACACACTGCTGCCAAAAACCTATGATCCCTCTTCCCTGTTGGTTTTTTTCTTTTGTGATAAAGGAAATGAATACATAAACAAATTAAAGCGGACCATTGTAACTCCCCCCGTTCAGTGTTAAATGGCTTGTGTCCAAACTACTACTTTGGCTGCACAGCTTGACCTGTTAACGGAAGTTTATAAAATTACAGACTTACTGACCGAAACACTGTGACAACAAAGGGGGAAAAAAAAAGCACAAAAAAATAAAACTAATGCAGCCACTACATCTAAAGCTGGCCATACACCTTACAATTATCTGCAGATTTTCTGTGGTCAGATGGAAAAGGTGCAACCGATTCCTCCATCTACGCTAAACTGTGTGGATGGAGTAATCTCCACCTGGGCCAATCTGTTGCACTTTTTCCATCTGACCACAGAAAATCTGCAGATAATTGTAAGGTGTATGGGCACCTTAAGAATTGGTGAGCTGCAATACATTAACTTTTTGCTTTTCGGGTTAGATACACTTTAAGTAAACGTCTGGCAGGTATAAGTGATTGTTGAGTGTTATCTGCCCTAAAGAACAAGTACAGCACGGATTTATAGGTGGGCATGTTAGTCATATTTTGGAAAGTATGCAGGCAAGTGGCAAGCATGTGCAAAGTCATCTAGCACAAGAGCACAGACTCTGTGTGGAAGAGATGGGGGTGGGGGGTGTTTGAAACTGGTAGTATTCTAATTTACATTAGAATGTATTGCGAGACTTGTAGTCCTGTATAGCTGGTGTTCTGCATTGCTGTATAGTGATTATACAGCAATGCAGAATACCACCAGCTATGCAGGACTACAAATCCCAGCAATACATTATATTAGTAAGTAGGGATGCACCAGTGCCAATACTGGGCATTTTCACAAGCACCTGTACTCGTGAAAATGCCCGGATACTAAGTGCAGATACCGACACTGGCGAAACTACCAGGGTTGCATCAGTCACATTAGCGACTGGGCCCTGGTGTTCCGCCAGTTTCGGGGGAGCCCAGAATGCTGGCATTGATTTGCCATGTGTTCCGGTGCGGGAGATCACATTGTGGCCTGGGGGCGTACCTGCGTTGCTATTAACTTTAATGCCCCCTCCCGCTCCAGAATGCAGTGAGCTGGCTGGGATGTGATCCAGTGCGTTCCAGCACCAAAATCGGGCCAGAACACACTGGAACTTGTGTGAACTAGCCCCGAAGGTCATAACATACATAGATAGTTTCTTGCATCGGGGCCCTGAGGTTTCTAGTTACGCCTCTGAGTGCATGCCTGATTCCTCTGCAGGTTTGTTGGATTTTAGACCAGGGCAGTCATTGCCTGAAGGATAAGCATTGTACACTCTTGCTGGTGTAATGAGTAACGATACTGGTAGTTAAGGATTTGGACACCCCCAATGCAGTCTATTTGCATAGAGGCACAAGGAGGCTTATGGGTGATGCTGGTCAAACACACTGCTGCCAAAAACCTATGAGCCAGTGGCGTCACAAGGGGGGTGCGGCCCGCACCCGGTTGACACCAAAATGACTTGGAATGCAGTGGAAACTGCATTGCAAACACGTGGATGCAGCCTTAGTTTAACTCAGGAGTATCCAAACTTTGGCCCTCCAACTGTTGTGTAGATACAAGTTCCATGATGCATTGCAAGACTGACAGCCACGACTAACAGCGGCCTGATGAGATTTGTAGTTTTCACACAGCTGGAAGGCCGAAGTTTGGTTACAGGCCACTGTTAAAACTTTTACATATGTAAACTGCACCCATATTACTGTATGCAGAAGTCCACTGCAGAATATACTTCAGTACTTTATCCCAATTTTGCTGAAAAGTTTACCAAAGAAACAGCAAGCAAGGCTTTTTTTTCAATTCACTGCATCTAAAACACACAGGTGTGAATAGAACATAATGTCATAGTTTGGGGGCTTACATTACTCCAACTGACACCAATGATGTGGACATTTTTATCCCACTGACCATAATGATGGGGGCTTATTTTATGACTTTTATTATTGTAATGTTTTTAAAAGACTTTTTTCACACCCAGGATACACAACTGGTGCGTACAGCTGCCCATGGACATAAATGGCTGTTGCAAGCACTGGCTTAAACAACAAGAATCTGCATTCTTAGAATACATTGTCGGCTATATATGAGTTTATGCATGGAGCCTACTCATACTGATACCAATCCTGCAGCTTATTTTAATTCTCTTTTGGCCTGATTTAAACCTGTGCATCGAAGGAGCACGCTTCCCGTTTGTGTGCGTTTTTGCACATTTGTCTGCCCCTATTGATTTCAATGGGTTATATACGCGTGGCAAAAAAGCTCATGTAGTATTTTGCATGACACGCGGTCGGTGTGTGTTGTGTTGGCATGCACGGCCTATAGTAGACTTACCTACAGAAGCAATCCTCGGTGACCAGCACTTCCATCTTTATTCCAGTCTTCTTCCAGGATCCGAGTCTTTGGCCTGGCTGGCCCACAATGACGTAACTTGCAACCATGCGTACGGGAGTTACTTCATTGTTCTGAGAAGCCTGGCGAGATTTTACGTGAATTTTACGTGAATATAGTAAATAGTTGTAGAGAGAAGTGCTGACAGGCAAGAAAAAACAAATTGACAAAAGACTTAGGCCCCATTCACACAAAGACTTATGCCGCATTCTGGGATCTCTGTGGCAAGAACCTACAAATTCCTGAAGCAGTAATCCCAGATGTCCCTGTTCAGATGCCGGCAATGTACCCACTGACGTTAATGACAAGGTGACAGAGGCCCCATGTCTCAGCGGCAGTCCATACATGTAACAATTGCACGCGGTTAGGGATAAATTCTTTTCCCTGGACGCAAAAAAACTGCATGTCAAACCACTGACAGATGCCACCACTGTTTCCTTGTCATTAACCTTAATGGGTTTAGTGGCCACATCTGAGCAGGTACACCTGGAATTCCCGCCACAGAAATCCCAGAACATGAAGCACTGTGTTCTTAGCGCTTTCTGCTTTAGCTGTCAGAAGCAGTCTGAAGTGCCGGGTAAAAAGAAGATGAAGTATATTCCTGTGCTTCATCATCTGTGTTGGAGGTCAGGAGAGACATCAGAGGTCTAATAAACCCCTAATGTCTCCATAAAGAGAACTTGTCACCTCCAAATGCTGTCACACAGGGGTTTGATAGCAAAAGTAAAAAATAATAAAAGAAATTGTAAAACCAACTCTGCTGTCCCCATCATCTGAGTCTAATGAATAACATTTAAAAAAAATAAACAGTGTGATGCACCATGATTGGCACATCAGCATTGCAGTGCAGCCTGAGTGACGGACCGCGGTATGGATACGAACTGTGTGAACCTTCTCTCCGGACTGCCATTCAGACCTCGGCTGGATGAAAATTTTATTCACTAGTCCCGATTTAGAGCTTCTAATCAGATCCTGGATACACAGATTTTGATTTTCTCGAAACGCAGCTAAACTGAATGCAGATAAATGTAGAAAATTGCAGTCAGAATGGTCCCATTGAAAATCAACAACATGTATTTATACGTGTTTCGAAGTGTGGTGTAAATGCAGGTTTGACACTGCTAATGTGAATGAGGCCTTACAGCTCATGCATATGGACGTATTTAGTAGCCAATACAGCAAAAAAATGTGCCTGCATTTGTGGCGCCTGGTAAGTCTATAGGAATGTATGGACAGATAACGCTGTACACTGGTGTATGGCAGTATCGGTGTTTGCATGCGCACACTGGTTAAGTTTGCAGACACAGGAGTTTCTCTGCGGAAACGTATGCCTGTGCGTTGGGAGGGTACCAGCATAGGCGTGCGCACAGGGTCTGCCTAGGCACAGCCTAATCACCCCAGCGCAATAACTAAACCACAACAGCGGCACTATGCTTTTAGTCATTGACCTGGTGGAAAGATCAAAGATCTCTCTGTGATCGGGTCAGCACAACAAAGCGCAGAAGCACTTGCCACTTACATTCCTCACATAACAGCAGCAGTCCTCAGTGCCTGGGAAGCAACAAGGGAGCGTGGCTGCGACTTCTCAAGCTTCCTATCCATTCAGGAAGCTGAACGGGTTATTACATACCTGCCAGAATATCCCTGCTTCATTACTACACCCCTACTAGAAGAGGTAAAGGACAGTTGAAGAGATGGGAATCTGGGATGCCTCAGGGCTGTGTATGTACTGTGTGCATATATATATATATATATTTTTTTTTTATTTTTTATATTTTT